CAATTAATCAATGGTAAAATGCATACTGATAATTCTACACAACCGTGTCATCCTGAAGTTCATTCAAGAAACCACTATACCTTAACCATCTATTTGGAAATTAAATAAAAGAGGAAATTGAATAGAAACGGAAATTGAATAAAAATGGAAGTGGAATAAAAATAAAAATGGAAGTCGCATAAAATTCAAAATGAAAGTTCGTTCAAGAAACCACTATACCTTAACGATCTATTTGGAAATTAATAAGAAAAGGAAATTGAATAAATATTAAAATGGAAACTGCCTAAAATTAAACATGGAAATTCATTTAAGAAACCACTATACCTTAAAGATCTATTTGGAAATTAAATTAAAAAAGAAATTGAATGGAGACGGAAATTTAAAAAAAATAAAAGTTGAATAAAAATAGACATGGAAACTGCATAAAATTAAACATGGAAGTTCATTCGTTGAACCACTATACCTTAACGATCAATTTGGAAATTAAATAAAAAAGGAAATTGAATAGAAAAGGAAAATGAATAAAAATGGAAGTTGAATAAAAATACAAATGGAAGTTCATTCAAGAAACTATTAAACCTCAACGATCTATTTGGAAATTAAATAAAAAAGGAAATTGAATGGAGATGAAAATTGAAAAAAAATAGAAGTTGAATAAATATTAAAATTGAAACTACATAAAATTAAACATAGAAGTTCATTCAAGAAATCACTATAACTTAACGATCTATTTGGAAATTAAATAAAAAAGGAAATTGAATAGAAAATGAAATTGATTAAAAATGGAAGTGGAATAAAAAAAAATGGAAGTTGCATAAAATTAAAAATTGAAGTTCATTCAAGAAACCACTATATATTAACGATCTATTTGGAAATTAAATAAAAAAGCAAATTGAATGGAGTCGGAAATTGAATAAAACTAGAAGTTGGATAAAAATAGAAATGGACACTGCATAAAATTAAACATGGAAGTTCATTCAAGAAACCACTATACCTTAATGATTTATTTGAAAATTAAATAAAAAATGAAATTGAATAGAAAATGAAATTGAATAAAAATGGAAGTGGAATAAAAATAAAAATGGAATTTGCATAAAATTAAAAATGAAAGTTCATTAAAAAAATCACTGCACCTTAACGATCTATTTGGAAATTAAATAAAAAAGGAAATTCAATAGAAAAAGAATTTGAATAAAAATGGAAGCTGAAAAAAATAAAAATGGAAGTTGCATAAAATTAAAAATGGAAGTTTATTTAAGAAACCACTATACATTAACTATCTATTTGGAAATTAAATAAAAAAGCAAATTGAATAGAAAAGGAAATTGAATAAAAATGGAAGTGGAATTAAAATAAAAATGGAAGTTGCATAAAATTAAAAATGAAAGTTCATTCAAGAAACCTCTACACCTTAACGATCTATTTGTAAATTAAATAAAAAAGGAAATCCAATAGAAAAGGAAATTGAATAAAAATGGAAGTTGAATAAAAATAAAAATGGAAGTTGCATAAAATTAAAAATGAAAGTTCATTTAAGAAACCACTATACCTTAACGATCAATTTGGAAACTAAACAAAAAATGGAAATTGAATGGAGATGTAAATTGAATAAAAATAGAAGTTGAATAAAAATAGAAGTGGAAACTGCATAAAATTAAACATGGAAATTCATTCAAAAAACCACTATACCTTAAAGATCAATTTGAAAATTAAATTAAAAAGGAAATTGAATGGAGATGGAAATTTAATTAAAATAGAAGTTGAATAAAAATAGAAATGGAAACTGCATAAATTAAACATGGAAGTTCATTCATGAAACGACCATTCTTTAACGATCTATTTGGAATTTAAATAAAATAGGAAATAGAATAAAAAAGGAAAATGAATAAAAATGGAAGTTGTATAAAAATACAAAAGGAAGTTGCATATAATTAAAAGTGGAAGTTCATTCAAGAACCGACTAAACCTTAACGATCTATTTGGAAATTAAATAAAAAAGGAAATTGAATGGAGATGAAAACTGAATAAAAATAGAAGTTGAATAAAAATAGAAATGGAAACTGCATAAAATTAAACATGGAAGTTCATTCAAGTAACCACTATACCTTAACGATCTATTTGGAAATTTAATAAAAAAAGGAAATTGAATAGAAAAGGAAATTGAATAAAAATGGAAGTGGAAGTGTAATAAAAATAAAAATGAAAGTTGCATAAAATTAAAAATGGAAGTTCATTCAAGAAACCACTGCACCTTAACGATCTATTTGGAAATTAAATAAAAAAGGAAATTGAATAGAAAAAGAAGTTGAATAAAAATGGAAGCTGAAAAAAAATAAATGTCACGCCCCACTTTTTATTACTCGAAGTCATTACCAGATTCATGAACTTAATTCAATTTCAAGGATAACATGCGGAAATAAACTTTTACATTCAATCCGTAGAAGTGATTAACAATACTCTCATTCGTATGCAAGTAAATATTACATGAAGATACTTAACAAATTGCCGTTGGGCTTACCTCACTTAAAGTGCAAGAAGAAGGGTGTAACCCTTTTACAACAATGGCCTTCCGCCAACATAACTGAGGCCCCGTGGCTAGCAAATAAATAGATCCAAATCTTGCAGCTCAATCTGCTTAATACCTGAAAAAGATTCAACAACGTGGGATGAACATATAGTCCAGTAGGGAACTCAACATGATCCTCAGCAATAACAACTTACAGATAACTATGATCATGAACACTCATTCTCATACTAGAATAGTAATGTGACAGTTTATACAAAATATATATATGTATGAACTTTTCTCGAAAACAACCGTTTCATTCAATGCTACCACTACTACAAAAACAGATAAAGATCACACTTTTTTTGTGTGATGTTTGTTTTTTAATCACACCTTTTAAATTTTATTAAAGTGTGGTCTTTGGGAGTGTGATTAAAAGGGGTCATTTTTAATCACACTTTTTAAGTGTCATTAAAAAATGTTTTCATCACATCTTTTAAGTGTGATTAATAATATTTAGATCACATCTTTTAAGTGTGATTAAAAACATTTAGATCACACATTTTAAGTGTGATTAAAAATATTTACATCACACCTTTTAAGTGTGATTAATAAAATTTAGATCACACCTTTTAAGTGTGATTAAAAACATTTAGATCACACCTTTTAAGTGTGATTAATAAAATTTAGACCACACCTTTTAAGTGTAATTAATAACTAATAAAACCTATGATAAAAAATAAAAATTCGACATATTTGAAGAATAATCAATATTATTTTTGTACGCGCATTTGAAGAATATAATACACACTATATATTATATTTTGAATCACAACCATATATTGAATGGAATAACGTCATATATTTCATAAATGAAAGTTAAATGTTCAAAAGTATATACAAAGAAATTAATAAAAAAAATTTAACTGTGATTACATATATTAAAAAATTAAAAAAAAACTTGAAAAAACTAAGTTCTTGAATTCTTTGACCATATGTTGCATCTCTCTAAGAAATTTCTGACCTGAAAAATAAAAAAACAAATTAATTCAGAAACCGCTAGAAGCATATGAAAAAACTTGCACTATTAAAAAAAAATACTTTTTGCGACCGCCACATGCCGTCGCAAATAATAAAATCACAGTCGTAAAAGACTTTCTGCGACTGCCTATGCAACCGCATATGGGGGACGCAAATGTGGGGGTGGCAAATACTTTTTGCAATGACAAAGCAACAGTCGCAAATTATTTGTGACGGCCTAAACTACTTTTGGCGACAGTTATCTTGCCGTCGCAAAAAAAATTAAAAAATAAAAGCCACTTTTAGCGACCATTGTTTCACTGTCGCAAATAATTATTTATTAAAAAAAATCATTTATGGGTTTGCCACAACAAAAAAATCAATTACAAGCACCAAACAATTTTTTGTAAATGAAAAATAACAAAATTAACAAATTAATTAAATTTATAATAGACATTATTCATTAACCATCCTTAAATAAACTGTACTAAAAAATTCAAGTCTTCAAAAAAAAAAAAAGGAAAGGAAAAAAAGAAAAAGAAAAAAAGAGCAACATAATCTTTGGCTCCCAACATCAATCGCTCAATCATATCAACTATTCCCTCAACAAAATCTGCAAAAACATATATCAAACTTGACTTGAAAATTTAATGCACTTCAATGTCTTAGTTTAGCATGAAATAATAAAAATAAAACTATGTCAGTGACCTCTCTCTATGGCAGATTAGTGTTCAACTGCATAGAAACTCAACGATTTAGTGTTCCAACAGAAAGAATAAAAAAAGTTGGGGGAAGACAAAGCACTATATCAAACTGAATTGCACAAGGAAAAGTGAACTATGCTAACCTTGTTTTGACTTGGCAAGAGCTTCAGCTATAGATCCTGTATCTCCCAAGTTTAAATTGGACCCTAAAGTCATGGCATTCGAAATTATATGACATCTACCCATATGCATAATCATGTGCCTATATTCCAAATAGCAGAAAAATAAAGAGAAAACTTAGATAACCTTCCATATTGTGAATACACACGGTCCTAAATTTCAAGGACTAGAAATATAGAAGAAAAACTAAGACAATTGCCAATCAAATGTTTTTTTTTTTTTTTTTTTTTTGAGATCATGAAGCATTTGTTAACATTCTAACACAGGCAAATAAATAGGAAAAAGGAAAACAAGTAGAAAGTTTGAATTATAAACATACCAATAGGGTCTGATGAATCAATAATAATTGCATCATACTTTCCTTCAGGTACATTTCGTAAAACTTCAACAGCTGCCATAATAATGAAAAGAAGATCAACAGGAAAGTCTAGCTATATAATCAGCTGTACAATTAGGAGCATTAATTGCATAAAATTATTAATAACCTAGATTAATGGATCCATATAAAATGGGTAATAAGATTTCAGATGCACATATTCACTAGACTGCATGTAAAAAATAATTAGAACATCTTCTTCACATACCATGAGCAATATGTAGTTGCACATGAGGATCCTCAAAGCCAATAGCTAACTCTGGAAAAAAAAAACTTTTTACTAACCTATAAGCAAGAAGTTGCAGCAACATACTTGTTACATAACAAAGAACACAAATAATATATAATCACATGAATGGGTACATCATTCACCACATACATCTATAACCATCTTACCAATCGCACAAATATCAATGAGCTCCTTGGTATTGTCGCGAGAGATTTCCCTAAGAACTCCACCTTCACCACCACCTACAACCAAAACCTGCATCAAGTAATTCAATTAAATTTGGCACAAATACCTAGGGACAAATAGAATAATTACAGATTGCATAAACATGAAGAGCAGAAGATAGCTAGCTCTACCAACAATGTTTTCCTCAATCATTGGCAACTTAAATTACAAGTTCTCTTTCTACTTGTAAATATGATGAATTGAGGCTGAGAGTACATAGAAATATTATTTGTTCACAAATTAACAATGAGACAAAAACAAGGTGTGTCTAATATTCAATTCTAGAATTAAAAATGTCATACAATGCCCTCAATCTAATAGAAAGAGTAAATTTTGCACACAACACTCAAATACTATTTTGTCTGAAATTCCCTGCGAAGAGTGTGCAACATAGTGATAATAAAAGGAAAACCGTTAAGTTTTTTGTTGTTCTTGTTTTGCTACTTGTTATATTAAGAAGATTAAAAAATGAAAGGGTAGTAAAATAGTGAGGAATATGGGCCCCTATAGACCCTATTCCTCAACAACAATCCCTAAGAAAAAAGTCTCGTCACACTTCCACAGTACTCCTCAAACCTCTTGGTAGATTGATAATCAAATATATTTTTTTCACCACAACAATCGTGTGTAGTTGGACATTTAACTTCAAATGTATCTCTAAGTACATATGCCTATTAAAGTTCAACTAGAATAAAAGATAAGAAAAAAAAGAACATCAAATTCAAAAAAGTTCCCTCAAGGTCCTCCCTGTGAATTAAAAAAAAATCCAAAAATGTTAGTAACCGCTACTGCTTGTTAATAACATCCAAAGAGAAGATAGGTTGAGAACTAGAAAGATCAGCTAAACCAACTTGAAAATCAAGGAGCAGCTACGGAAATTGGAAATTGGGCCAGACAAGCATATATTTTTCTAAAATTATCCAATATGTTTTGTTGCATCTGCTGCACATTAATTATTCACCAATGACAAAATAAAGAAAAACCTAAGGCTCTAAGTCGTAGAGAATTGGTTGATAAACACATGAACATACAAACACATATAGGCAAAATATAGGTTTCATCAAAATGAGAGAGAGAGAGAGAGAGTATGTAATTTTTACTTGGCGAAATGCACTTGGTTTAGATAAACCAAATTAAGGGGATCACCACCCATGAATCCCTCCTTTATAGTGGAGAGGAACTGAAATTTTACTCTATGGCCCTTGATTGCACTTCTTAAACAAAGGACATAAAAATAAGGCAGCTAGAAATTGAACAAATTAGATGACTTGAAAACATACCAGTGTATTATGGGGCTCACTATAATACCACCCATTAATGAATGCTGCAAAGATGCCTTCAGTTGCCATAACATAGACAAGCATAGCATTCATGCCAATCCATTCCAATGGCAGAAACAGATACTTCAAATTCCAAATATCAACCTGGCATAGAAGAGTATCAACTTCAGATCAAATTAAGTTTGATAAAGCAGAAATCTAAGGTCCTTGTCATTTGAGTGGCTACAGAATTAGTGTACAATGCACATCAATGTACATTGTCCATAAACAAATTTGCATCAAATTGGTGGAACCAGCAATAAATGATCCCATCTACACACATTATGACCCACAATCACTTTTTGTTTCTTTTTCTATTTTGCAGGAATTTGAGAGTTAAGGTGAACAGAAGACCCCTAAATCAAAAGCAAAAGACAAAGGTTAAGAGACTGTGTTAATGGGCTAGAGCTTTAGCGAGAGTCTAGTTATATTCTTGAATAGAAGTGAGTCACTTCTCTTGAGATGATATGATTCAATTGGTTAATGCGAGGATTTCCAGGTGTCCATGTCGTCTTAGAATGATTATTGTCTAATTTAATAATATTTGGGGAAACCTTCTATACCCAAATACAAGAAAATAACCATAAAATCAGTGAAACAATAAATTTTTATAAGAGTTTACCAGAGTATAGAAGGCTGAGAACACCAATGCTGTTGCTCCTGATGTTACACAGACATAGCTGAAAGTGTACAACTGCTTATTCAAAGGAATCGCTGCACCAGAGAAGCAATGAGATATGGAAGGATGCAAAGGAGATATATTTTAGAACGTAATCACCATAGGATGTCAAGGATGTAATAGCCTCTGCTTCGACACTGCATCTATAACCCCATTGGTAACCATCCTCCAGGACCAAACTCAGTAATCTCCTCGCCTATCCTCCACTCGACGATCCAACTACCCCTTCCCAGCCCTTCTGCTATCGCAGAACCATGGGAGAGAGAGAGAGAGAGGGAGGGGGGAATCCGAACATACCTAGATCAAAGCAAAGAGAAGAGAATAAGAAAACCCTTCCCTTTCGAATCGTTGATCGCTGTCGGCGCCGAACCAGTCTTGTTAAAAACTGTAACAAAAACTTGTTTGATAATTTTTTTAGTTTATAAATGGTTTTCTCAGTTTGTAAATTTGAGGAAAAAACGTAAATTCAAACAATGAGCTTACGTTGGTTTTTAAACAGAAATTTAAAACCTTTACTAACAATTTTTTTTTTCAATTAATTTTTTTTTTCAAATAATTTTTTTCCAATTAATTTTTTTTTCAATGAATTTTTTTTTCTAACTAATACTAACCAATGAGATAATTGGTAATGCTACTTTAAACCTTAGGGAGGGGATTGTAATTTCTAAAATGTGAGGGGTGTCAATGTAATTTACCCAATGAGGCAAAATTGGTATTTAAAAAAATTAAATTGCTGAAGGAGAAATTTGTATTGAAACTTTAAACCTTAGGGGGGAGATGTAATTTCCAAAAGGTGAAGGGGGAACTCTAATAAATATAAACCTCAGGGAGGTGTAAGTGTGATTTACCCAAAAAAAATTAATTGGAAAAAAATTATTTGAAAAAAAAATTAATTGAAAAAAAATTTTGCTAGTAAAATTTTTAAATTTCTGTTTAAAAACCAACGTAAACTTATTTTTTTGAATTTATATTTTTTTTCAAATTTACAAACTGAGACAACCATTTATAAACCAGAAAAATTATCAAACAAGTTTTTATGATAGTTTTTTAAATTTTTGTAAATATAAATTGAAAACTGAAAATGAAATGGTTAGCAAGGCTTTAGATAGTAAAAATGTTGTAAAATTAACAAATAATTAAATAAGTTACCAACGTAAAAAATGGTTTATCAAAAGATTCTTAGGCCATATATGGTTTGATTTTTAGAATTTTTTTTTAAAAATTAAAAATTAAAAATTAATTTGGTTAAGAAATAAAAAATAAAAAATAATTATCATTTAAGGGTAAAAAATGATTATCGTTTTAACTTTTGGGCAAGTTATATACATACGTATGGTTGTTTCAATTTAATTTGTAAAAAATTATTTCTAACTACTCAAAAGATAAAAATTATGTAAAAGTGATAATCATTTTTTATTTTTTATTTCTTAACCAAATTAATTTTTAAATTTTTTTTCTAAAAATCAAACCATACATAGCCTAAGAATCTTTTGATAAGTCATTTCTTATGTTGGTAACTTATTTAATTATTTGTTAACTTTACGACATTTTTACCATCTGAAGCCTGTTTGGTAACCATTTCGTTTTCAGTTTTCAATTTATATTTACAAAAATTTTTAAAATTGTTATAAAAACTTATTTGATAATTTTTTAAATTTATAAATGGTAGTCTCAGTTTGTAAATTTGAGGAAAAAAAACGTAAATTCAAAAAATAAGTTTATGTTGGTTTTTAAACAGAAATTTAAAAACTTTACTAACATTTTTTTTTTCAAATAATTTTTTTCCAATTAATTTTTTTTCAATGAATTTTTTTTCCAACTAATACTAACCGAGGGGGAAATTGATAATGCTACTTTAAATCTTAGGGAGGGGATTGTAATTTCTAAAACGTAAGGGGTGTCAATGTAATTTACCTAGTTAGGGCAAAATTAGTATTTAAAAAAAATTTAAATTGCTAAGGGGGGAATCTGTAATAAAACTTTAAACCTCAAGGAGGAAGATGTAATTTCCAAAACGTGAGGAGGGAACTATAATAAACATAAACCTTAGGGGGTGTCAATGTAATTTACCCTATATATATAATCACACTTAATTAGAAAGTGACATAAAAAATAAATATTATCACACTCAATCAGATTAAGTGTGATTAAAAATATATATATATATATAATCACACTTATTTAAAAAGTGTGATTAAAAAGTAGTAATGTATATATAATCACATTTTAATTACATTGTGTGATTAAAAAATATATATAAATAATCACACTTTAATTAGAATGTATGATTAAAAAATATATATATAATCACACTTATTTAGAAAGTGTGATTAAAAAGTAATAGTGTATATATAATCACACTTGAATTAGAAGGTGTGATTAAAAAATATATAAATAATCACACTTTAATTAGAATGTGTGATTAAAAAATATATATATATATAATCACACTTGTTTAAAAAGTGTGATTAAAAAGTATATAATCACACTTTAATTAGAAGGTGTGATTAAAAATATATATATATAATCACACTTAATTGAAAAGTGACATAAAAAATAAATATTATCACACTCAATCAAATTAAGTGTGATTAAAATATCAATCTAATTTTTTTTATCACACTTCCAACAAAAGTGAGATCTTTTTTTTTTGTCAAAGTGTGATTTTTAACTATTTTTGTAGTAGTGTATTTTCTTACGAAACTATATACAAATTGAACCATTAATAGAGAAACCAGCCCTCGTTGATAACTAGTAACCTCGTATGCATCTACTATTATTTTTCCATATCCAAAAATATTTAAGCAAGTAACAATGTGAGCTCCAACCTATTTGAAACTACTGTGCCATAAATAGTTGATGCAGATGTCTTATGGCTTCTGCCACATCTAGGAAGCGACATATTTTTAATCTGATACGATATAACAATATTTACCTTAGTATTTAAGGGAGAACAAAGGCTGAAGAATGGATTTGCTATAAGAATCAGCCCAATCCAGAGATTCCCACCATTCATTATCTCCCCAAATGTGCTGAAGCGCAGGTGGTGCTGATGCTTGCCCGTTATCCATGTGCAAAGAAAGAGGTAGTCTCCTTAATGTGTGACACTTGTCTACAACAATATCTTTCAGAGATTCACATACCATTATGCCCTTACATATGCTCTTCAATCTTGGTAGACTTAACAGTTGTAATCTCTTGAAATTGCGGAGTGTGATGGTGTTGCTATTCTCTTGATGATGACCCTGATCGCTCATCTCTACTTCTACAAATATGTCCTCCACATGTTTACAATAAGACACTTCAAGTTGCTCGAGGTTTGGGAAGTTCTGCAACAACTTAGCAGGGAAAATATTCCTAATACTGGAACATCTACAGAAGTACAATTTCTTAAGGTTAAAGGAAACACTGTATGGAGGAACAACTCCGTCAAAGAATGCCCTAAAATTGGGTAATTCAAGAAACAATAATGACTCAACAGTTCTTAGTGGAATTTGACTATCTTCTAAGGAGGATGATGACGAAAAGATGGATTCTATCCTATTACAGTATCGGAGATGACATGTTCTTAAATCTCTAGCATCCCCCAATGACAGAATATTTGATAAACTAATGAGATTGTGGCATTTTTTAATCTCAAAGAACACTATCTTTCTTGGGAGCACTAGCAAATCTATTCCACTTTAAAAAAGTATAGACTCAACATTAACACGAACTTCATTTCCCATGGTGCTGATGGCATATTCTAAATCATTTCCCACTATAAGACTGTAGTTTTCCAAGCTTTGACATTGTTGAGACGTCACATAACTAGTAAGCTCTTGCACATTCAGTAAGTGAGCACGGAGAACTTTTAATTGCCTCAAGCATAAGAGCTCTTTTGCTAACACTTTTGCTCTTGTTGCATCAATTCTAAGGCATTGGAGTTGGGACAGTCTGCATGTCACGACCCAAACCCGCCCCTAGGGGTTTAGTACCATAACCGTCCAGTAATCCGAGATTACTGAAGGCCTGCTTAACTGTAGAACAGTAAAACAGAGTACAGGGGCATGGCGGAAGCCAATACAGTAAATAAACAATGTCCAATGAGCTGTGACAGTCTGTATGCAAAAAGACATCACAAAACCAACTCCACTAATCTTGTTTCCATAAAATCAACTCCAAAGCCATGGTTAATCCCTTAGGCATTAACACCCTTACCACACTCATTTTGACAAAAGAGATTTACACACAATGGTCAACAAACCCCCATTATAATTTACCCAACCAAAATATAAAGTTAGGGCTTTTCTTTATTTAACTACAACATGCTAATTTATATTTTAATTAGCCAAGACAACAATCAATGAAGCCAAAACCATTCTCCACACAACCAACCCTAGGTTTATTTCATGATTTTCAAACAAATCCAACTTGATACAATTTTCATGCAATACAAAAATTACCACATGTCTATCTATAGACGGAGTATTGAAAAAGAATAAGGAGAATCCCTACCTCAAATGGAGAACCCAAAAGGAGAAGATGACCCGTAATCAAAGTGCTCCAAATCCCAAATTTCTTGGATCACAACGAAGCCCTCGACGATCAACACACTTCTTACAAAGGCCTAAGGTGAGGAAAACACTCTAGCTAGATCAATCCTAAGAGAGAAGTTAGGTTTTAGAGTGAGGTGCTCTCCAATGGCTTTTTCGGAAAAGTAAGAGAGAGAAAGGAAATGGAAAAGTGATTCAAAAAGCTGAATCTCGGTGTGTTATACAGGTCACCCCGCTCGAGCGTCGAACTCCCCGCTCGAGCGTCACTCACAGATCCCCGCTCGAGCGTCCAACACCCCGCTCGAGCGTATACCACTGCAGACGAAATACTGGATGGGTGATTTCCCCGCTCGAGCGCCAACACCCCCGCTCGAGCGGACAAGCAACAGAGCGTCACTCACAGATCCCTGCTCGAGCGTCCAATCCCCCGCTCGAGCGGCGGATGCACGCTCCCAGAACTTTTGCAGAACAGGTCCCCAGCGTCACACACAAACTCCCGCTCGAGCGTCACACACAAACTCCCGCTCGAGCGTCAAACTTCACGCTCGAGCGTCCAACACTACAGAGAAAATACTGGGAAGGTGATTTTCCCGCTCGAGCGCCGAAACCCCCGCTCGAGCGGAGAGGCCAAAAACTGGGCAAAGATTCTAAGCTTTAAAACACAACCAACTTATTCCTAACAAGTCCAACACAACCAAAAGCTCTACAACAAAGAGTAATGGATAGAATGAGGATAAGACAACAACGAATCTACGGAACCAAGCCCGGATTACAGTTCAATAACAACAGGGAATATCGAGATCGCTATACATTTTTATTCAATTTTCTTTTCTATTC